TCACCAATGACCTCAAGCATAAGATCTTTGCAATGTGCAACGCAAGGGGTCCAAAATATGCGAGGCCTCTTTTGTCGAAGCAAATGACCTGCAGCTAGATTGGGAGCAGCATTATCTGTGACCACTTGAATTACAAATTCCTCCCCAACTTCCTCAATGCCCTTATCAATGAAAGAAAATATATAATGCGTGTCATGAATATCATTGGAAACATCAATTGAGCACAAAAAAGTTGTACTCGTGGGACAATTTACTAACAAATTCGTGTTACTCCTCCTCCTATCACTCCACATATCCTTTATTAAAGAAACCCCAAATTTAGCCCATCTCTCTTTATGGGTCTTGCGATATTCGTTAGTATACTCGACTTCTTTTTTCAGTAGTGGCTCTTCAATCTCATAAGGAGTTGGAACTTTCAAACCTGACCCAAATTTCCCTAATGCTTCCAACATTGTATGGAAGCTATTCAAGCGAGCAGTACCAAAAGAAATGCCCGCTTGGTAAAACCACCGAGCAAATATGGAATCTCCTTGCTTTTATCTTCCCTCTTAAATATATTTTCAATTGTCACTTGTTTTTGCCCTTTTCCTCCCTTGCCTTTCTTAATTACTTTCTCAAGGCTAGGTGTAAAAAAACTATTTGTAGGTGAGGCTTCTTAGACCCAAAAGCCCTCTTGTTCTTAGAGTTCTGATTACCAACAATGGCTACCCTCTTCATCCTCTTCTTCAGTGTCAACATTATCATCAAAAACATGGACCCCTAACTTAAATTCTGCTATATCCTTTTTTTGCAATTTTTTTACTCTTTCACCTTCATGTATTCACAAATTTCTTTCTTGACAAGATCTGGGACTTTCTTACATGGGGCAACATCACTTCTAATACCGGCAAGATGTTTCTTAAATTTATTTATGTCGGCATTAGAAACATGTCCACAGAAATTGCACATAATTTTATTCTTGTCATTCTTATTAGGGTTATCACAATATTTCCATCTCGGATCTCCACCCTTACTAGACCCTGCAGAAGACATCTCAAATTGGAAAAATAAAACTCAAATAAAGATTACAGACTGACCTTTTTTGCCCAATTTCTGATCTTCGATGTTGGTTACCTCAATTGAGCTACGAATCAACTCAAAAGTCTTCTAATGCCACCAATAGCACCCTAAAAATAATTTCAATGAGCATTGAAAATTTTTTCAATCCACAAAAAATACCTTCGATTATCAGAAATTACTTTAGATTCTCATAAATAAGTTTGGACATTGAGGGTTTCTTTTTTTTTCACTTTGGGGGTTAAAAAATAAACCCCATAACATTTATACAAACTTGGGGGTCGAAATGACCTCCTTTGCCCTTTTGGGTGAATTTAAAAATAAAAAACTGCCTTACAGCCCTGGGCGCCCACCCAAAACTGGGTGTTGGGTGCCCGCCCAAGTACAACCGCTTGTGTAGGGCCGCCTGGGTCGAGGCATGCAATTTTTCTGTTCAGGCCGCCTAAGCGTCGGGCTGGCCGTTTTTTAGAACATTGTCAAAAAACCAATTTGTTTTTCTGTCAAGGAGGTCAACAATTGAGGCTATTTTCCTACATTGGCAACTGACTAAGAAGTTTAGGGTGAAGGAAAAAGACCTCTACATGGTCGTTATTGATCTAGAGAAAGCTTTTGATAGAGTACCTCGAGATTTAGTTTGTTAGGTGTTGGAAAAGAAAAGAGTTTCTAGATACTATATCAACTTGCTGAGATAACTAGTGTGCGAAAAACTAGTGGAGAGACGAGTGAGTTTTCAGTGACAATAAGTCTACATTAGGGGTCAGCGTTGAGCTCATACCTCTTTATCTCAGTTATGGACGACTTAACCAGTCATGTACAAGATGAGGTACTATGGTGTATGTGGTTCGCGGACGACAGTTTTGATTGTTGAGACCCAAAGCGACGTCAACACAAACTTAGATCTTTTGAAGGATGCTCTAAAATCTAAAGATTTTAATATTAGCCGGACTAAGAATATATGGAATGCAATTTTAGTAATAATAGGAGTAGAGATGAGGAAGTAGTTAAGATTGATGGTTAAGAAATACTAAAAGGAGCGCACTTTAGATATCTTTGGTCTATGGATCTAAGAAAATGGAGAGATTCAGGAAGATGTCGCACATAGAATTAGAGTTCGGCATGCAAAGTGACGAAGTGCAACCGGATTATGTGATCGTCACATATTACTGAAGCTAAAGGGGAAGTTCTATATACCAGTTATGAGACTTGCTTTGCTTTATGGGGCAAAATGTTTGGCAGTCATGAAATAACATGTCCATTGGATGAGTGTAGCTGAGATGAGGACGTTGAGATGGATGAGTGGCAAGAGAAGAAGGGATTGAATTCTAGATGAATACATTCAGGAGAATTTAGGTGTGGCTCCAATAGGTTATAAGATGAGAGAAAGTAGACTTAAGTAGGAATGTGCAGGGCAGACCCATTGCGACACCTGTTAGGAGGCACGAGTTAGTTCAAGTGGAAGGCTCAAAATCGCTAAGGGGTAGACCCAAAAGGATATGGTTGGAAGTAATGAGAAAAGATATCGGGATTTACAGTCTCGCTGAGTGTATGTCCCTTGATAGAATAGAATGGCGAAATAGGATTCATGTAGCCAACCACATAGTTGGGAAAAGGCTCTGATGATGATGATGATGAATCGATTATTTTATGGAAAATGTACAAATTGCCATATGAGATGAACAATTTAAGACTTTGCCATATGTGTGTTGATTTAATTTCGAAATACTCATAAAAAAAAACACATGGTCTTGAGTTGGAATCATTGCAATTGCGCAAAATATTAAATACTTTATCTCTTATGGGTATTTTTGACAAATATTTCTTGTTTTGTAAATCAGAATTTGAATAAAACATAAAAGAGATTTTTAAGGAGAGATTGTTGTTATTTTTTTAGCAACTTTATCATTAATTTTGATGTCAAATTAAAGAGATTTTTTAGTAAAGGATATTTGGGATGAGTGTCGAGAAAGAAAGTTATAGAAAGATTTTAGAAAATTTTGAGGGAAAAGTAAGGGTTATGAGATAGTTAAAGTCACACTCCTATTTATTCTCTCCCTCTCTCTTACACACGCACACGAGAGAGAGAGAGAGAGAGAGAGGGGGAGGTGGGGCAATGTAGAATTCCATAGTATAAGTTCAAAAAAAATTTTGTTTTCTTTATTAATAAAAAGAATTTAGGCTTACTATTACCATAATACAATGCAAAAATAGAAAATAAACCTATTGAAATCTAAAATCTTTAACTCTTACTGCAAAAATAAACTTCATTCATAAATTGAATACAAAATTATAATATAAACTCTGAAGCAAATAGGAATCCTATTTCAAGCAGGAATCCTAGCCCAAGTAGAAATCCTAAGTAACATTGTACTCCTAATACAATTAGGATCTAACAAATATGAATCATGAACTAAAATAAAACTAATAAACAAAAGTACGATGACTTATTGACCTTTGCCTAGGATCACCCCTTTTGGGCTTAGCACACCCCAAAACCCCATTACGGTACCAATGGCACACTCTAATCCTTTGGTCCTGCTGAATTCCCTGAATTGGGAAGCAGCTTTGGCAATACCCTCTAACAAAACTGGGGCTGAGAGCATGGACTACTATTGGGTTTCTTTTCAACCCTTTTTAACTTGTGTCACGTCACAAAGGCACCTCTTTCCACTTTCTTGGGTTAGCCTGGGTGGTCAAACCACCTTCTTAAGGCCGTGTCTAGGTGGGGAATGCCTACCCTTGATAGATGTGGAGGACAGAAGCAGGTCTGAACTTAGATGCTGGGAATGAGGGGAGGACCCCACTTTTATAAGCCTCAGTGTCCTTAAGGTATACCCATCTCAATTCAAATTCAGCTTGATCATAGGATTCCCAAGTAATCTATGAGGTGAGAGAGAAACTTGCAATCCACTCGAACCAAATCACCCCTCCTAATTGGTGTTGTTCAAGGTTGACACTGCTCCTACCAATTTTAAAATTTTCAAATATTTTCCTTGTTAGGGTTTTTATACATAAAGTAATTTTTATGAATTCTGAAAATTTTTATAAAATTTTAAGAATTCTGAAAATATCACAGGAGCATAAAGAAAATTGAAACGATATTTATGTTGTTCTTGAACATCTTAAAAAAAACTTAGAGATAACTCTAGAATTGAACTGGTACCAATGAGTCAAGAAAAGTGACTGTCAGGCACTTCACCTCTGCTAGGATTTGTGATCTATAACTATCTTCTCGAACCAATCCAACGGGATCCACAACCTATAATCATTCACTGTGTCTCATGAGTGGCTTGTCAAAGCTAGCCTATAAATAGTTGAACCACGGTTCTAGTATGTGGATTGCAAGTTCCCCTTAAGAACAAGTCATATACATATATTATTATAGTGCAAGGGGTACTCTCTCTATGCACATGTACATATATCCCTCTGTTGGGTTGCTTCCTAGAATGCGACTGCATATGTACATGTCGTGCAGATGTTTGTTGAAGATTTGGCCCTTACTCTCACCGGCCCACAATCGCACGTAGGAATCCCGATGGCTTTTTGGCCTGCAAACATCATCCCTGAGCATCTTTACGACCTCAACAAGGGATGATCCTCAGAGGTAATGCCTATGCTCTGCGGAGAGAGTTTTGGATATGATCTGAGCTATGTAGAACGCCCTACTCTTGATCAGTCAAACAGCATACACTCCCGCTGAAGCGCATAATTCACAATATTTATTACTTTTGCATGCTCTCACGGCCTCTAAAGGCCACAAACCCCATATCCCACTACAACTATTTTTAGTGGATTTTTACTTCTTGTGGTTCTGGTCATAACCAAGTTTGTGTGTTTATTTGACTTGCATAGACGTTTAACATGTCATGTTTGATTTCTTTGAGCTAAATTTTATTTCTCTTTTTTCTTGGTAATCAGAAAATGATATGCAGTTTTTGTCTTGTCAGATATCATATTTATGTACAGTATCTCAAACATATTCCATCAAGATATACTTGCGTTCCCTTTCTCTTGTAAGGGTCATTTTCTTCCTGTAAGCTTCTGTACTTGGCGCATGTATAAAACCCTACACAGTTAAATACAATATGATGTTTTTCATTATCGCAAACTTTGTTTCAATTTATTTATGGTCGTTGTTGTAGTTGAAACTATAAATGAGACAGTTTTTTTGTTTTTGTTTTTTAAAATGATTTTGCAGGTTCCTCGCTTCCATTTGATGAAGATCAGATTCTGTCATACTTACAAAAGCTCTGCAGTTTACTTGTAATGGTTCCAGGTCATCCCAACCTATCTAAAATTTCTCTTTAGGCCATTTTTATTGACATTTTTTAATGTGCCTGCTTTTTTGTATTTATTCTTTTTTATTTTCTCTTGAATATATGCATCTTGTCATGGTGATTTCAATTTTGGAAAATGAGAGCTGGTACTGTTGTTCACCAATGGCAGTAGGGCCACCAGCACTACTGCCATGTCATTTTCAGTAATGTGAGGTAGTATTACTTCATGGCTAAGAAAGGTGATATAATTAGTGAATGTAAGTATGTTCTGTCCAAATATTTTCAATTGCAAAAATTTGCCTAGCCTATCTTACAATAAATATCTAACAAGTTCACTCACTGTTGATTATTTATTTGCCTTGAAATGCATTCCTACATGTTTAGGTTCCGTTCATTTCATTTCACATCCGACAGTTTCTTTTAAGTATCATTTCTCTCTCCATCAATCAATAAATTTGTTGTCATGTCAATAAATGAATTTCGTTTGTCATTTTTCTTTACATAAATGTCTTTTGTCATTTTTCTTTACATCAATCCATAATTTGTTGTCATGTCAATCAAATCTGCTAGTTCTTTGTTTGATGGTTCATTATGTGATTTCATTTATTCAATCTGGTTTCTAGGTTTATTATTCAATTGCACACTCTGACACAGTAATTCATTGTTTTCTGGCCGTTCAATTAAATATCCCACTAAAATTTAACTCCGACCATGTGCAAATAGATAATTACCTGTCTTGCCGAGCATTGTTTAATTACATGTGTGTACATGTTAGACCAGTGTTACAGGACTCACCCAAGTCCACTCAGAATCAACCGACTCGGCCTTGCCCTATAGGCATCAGCCAAGTCACCCCGAGTTGTGTGTACAATTCTGGGTACATGAAAGAATTTCAAAAAAAAAAAAAATTCCAGAAAATTGTGAAAAATTTAGGATTGTTCAATAAATTTTTGTATATGATTGGATGTTTTTGGCAAGGATTGGGGAGAGTTTTGTGCCATAATCCCAATTTCTATGTCTTCCTTTTTTTTGGATCTAGAATGTCTCCAACTATAAATCTATTTTTTAATCCATTTTTCTATAATGTTTTAAGCTTTTTTCAACTTTTTAAGGTTTCTTTTGATTTTATTTTACTTTTACTACCTTTCTTTTTTTTTCAATTTTTCTTTTTATTTTTGAATATATCTTGGACGTTTGGCCTTGTACAAGACTCGGCCGAGTAACTTGCTTCTCGGTCAATGGCCGAGTCCCTTGGTTGAGGCAAGTTCCTAAACACTGTGTTAGACCAAGGGTGTGTTGTGCTCTCACCTGTACTTGGACCAAATTCTTATTCAGTGTTAGTTACCTTTCCTGACTTCCCACACCATTTATATTTTAAACATTGTGTACCAATAGTCTATATCCTTCTCGACACCACAAATGTTTCTTATACTTCTGTTGTGTATTTTCACTTCTATGTCCATGCTTTCACAGTGAGCTTCTTGTTGTTTTTCTTGTTCAGTATTTTTTTTTTAAAATCTTGATTTTATTTATGTACTTTCTATTTATGTGATCTATTTGAATTCCTTATCCTTATTTTCAACATGTAGTAGGCATATCTAACCGTAGTTTTCTTCCTCATTATTCAATGCTTTGAACCTATATATTATCATGGAATGCTGGCCGTTGTGCATTCAGTAGCCAAAGATATTAGGAGTTTGTACTTCATTTTTCTAATTAACAAAATTAAAGTACACAAAAGCTACAAATAATAATAGTCCTGCAAGACCAAATCTGAAGTTGTCTTTAGCTTACTGTCACCTTTCGATGATGTGCTTATAGAAAAAGCAATCTTAATTAAAGTTGAAGCTGTAGTTTTATTTACAAAGTATTATTGTAGTCGATCTGAACGGCATAAGGTACCTAAAGATCCTTTAATAAGTTGTAATAAAGCGATTATCCAAATAGTTAATGTTTACTACTCATTCAGGTAACTATGCTGATGTGTTTTAATGATTGTTATCATTGATCTGTAGGAAGTCCGGAGCTAGGGATTGGTTTCATGTTAAAGAAAATGCTAGCTCTTGTTAATTCTCTAGCAGGGTAAGAACCTTTTTACTAGATTATGCTTCTACGAGGTTCAAAATGTATTATGACAGACCATTTATTAGGCAGGCTCCAGAGCCAATATATAGAGGTAATTGCTATTATAATGCGTATGAAATGGGAAAACTTAATGGTTTTTAGCCGTTCATTCTTTCTAAAATTAAATAACACATTGGTGATTCGTTAAATTACATTTTTTAAGAATATCAGGGATTTGGAAATACGTATGTTAGTTTTGAAAATAAGAGATAGTATATCTGGCTTTTCTTGAAATTTGAAAGCTTGTATGTTAGCTTTTTGTTTTCTTATAGTTGTTGGTATATTTTAAAAAACAAAATTCTTGATCATATGCCCCATTTTGTCTTAATGTCAGTCAATGTCACCTATTGTGATGAGCCAAGGCCCAGGCCAATATATCAGTTTATGGAACCAATGTTCACAAACTCTTGAACCATCACTCCTCTTGAGTGGAAGTTTCTTTCAATACGGAAACATTATTCATCATTCCAACAGTGATAAGTTTTATTACCCACTCTCACCCTGCTTTCATATTCCTCTCTCTTACTGCAGAATGACCTCATTGTTTAAAGCAAAAGCTTTTATTGCCATTTTGTTATTGACATCAACATTATCACAAAAGAAGCTGCCGTACCATATTCAAAATAAAGAGGTATTAAATGTTCTTCAGTCCATTCCTGGTTTAATTCTGATTACATTCATGAGGTTATCTGTATTGTGCATTATTATGTGGTCATCCTGAGTACTTCTTACATTATCAGGCCATAGTCTGGAAAATTCGGATTTTGCATGAGTTCAATTTTGCATGATGATCAGAACTCTCGTGAATAAGGTTTCAACTATCAAGAAAGCTTTGCACATTTGTATATTAAGGCGGTCAAAAAAACTGTCTTTTTATATTGGTTCCATCCCATGTTTGCCTTCCTACATGTAGATTTATACGAACAAGTGTACATGTTTGTTCTCATGGGACACGAGGTTTTATGAGGTCAGTCAAATGTTGTTTGCTGATTTAATAAATCTGTGTATGTATTACAAGAAGGGCGTAAGGCGTGGCTATCTGAATTTAGGTGTCAGATAATCGAGATCAGTTTACTCCTTACTAAAATTGCAAAATAAGTATACACCACTACTCTTATTTGTCTTCTCATTTTATCTAGAAGTGATAGTACAACTGTTTAAGATAGTTGTTGAAATCTTTCCAAATAAAGAATCTTAATGTTTTAAAATATTCATGAGGCTCGGAATTTGGCAAATTATAAAAGGGGAGAGTAGCATCTTTGCATGCCCAAGTTTTTAAAAGATCCACATATGGTCAAGGGGATGATTTAGAAGACTCCTGAAGACAAACCAAGTGTTATGATTGTGATAAATATGATTTGGTGCATACATGGACAAGAAATTTAAATAATTGGATCAATCACAACATGTTGGCCTTACAAAACAAAGAAAACAAAGGGTAAAATACAACATCAATTCCAGAACCAGGTAAGATTTTGTAATATTTGTTCAGTGACTTCCATTTACATAGTTTTAGGTGCTCTAATAAAAAGGATGCAAGGCATAGGTTATGGTCAGATAGCTCAGCTGGTAGAATAGAGGACTGAAAATCCTCATGTCACCAGTTAAAATCTGGTTGCACGTATGTGTTTTGATATTAGCAATGAAATAATATTTTGTGTATTGTACATAGACCGTTATAATATTTGTTGTTTACTGTTGTACTAGGTACATTTGCGGTATAAGAGTATACCCCTACACACACACAGACACATATCTCCAATTACTCACTCTCCTTCCTTTTCTTTTATATTGTGTTACATTTTCACATCATATCAGAGTAGAGGATCCAAATCTCAAGGTTGATCCATTCCTTCTCCTAGTAAATGCATCACAAAACCATTTCTCTTTATTTCTTGCATTACTCCATTCTAAGATTGATTTCGTTTCCACTCTTCTCTAAAATCTGCTTCCATCCTTTTATCTCTCAAATCTTAATTTTCGCTCTCAATCCAAAATAGAATAAAATAAAAGGAGAGCCCAAATCTCAATACCTTCTTTTCTATCCAAAGGCCAGTTTGAATGCTTGGTTTAAGTTCTTGATTTAAAGTTCTTTTTAACAAAAAGAATAAAGGTTTTTTTTTCCTGTTGAATTTTAAAATGATGATTTAAAATTTCCTTTTACAAAAACAAATTTCGTGTTGAAGTTTAAATTCTTGCTGTCTAAAATAAGTATTGTTTTGTTGTATAGGAAGAGAGAAAAATAAGTTAAGCTCTGCCATTTTCTCTTTTGGAAACTAGAGAGCGAGCTTTATACCCTCTCAAAAATCTAGACGCTAGCTATCTCCTTTCTCTCTTTGAAGATAAAACAATTTAGAGTGGTCCACCTATGTTAATCTTGCCTTTGAGAATGAAATTACGAGCTTCAGCTGGGCAAATCAAGACTGTCAACCCTATCCTGAAGTACTGTGCTTCAGTTAGGTAAGTCATGTCTATTTTGATGTGTGTTTGTGTGCGTGTGTGTGTGCAAGAGAGAGAGAGAGAGAGAGAGAGAGATGTTGGTTGGGGGGCCTTTGAGAAATGAAGGGTTTGTTTGAGAGAGAGGCCCAATAAGTAAAGGGGAAAAAAATTCAAGTACAGGTAGAATTGTTTTTAAGGCAAATTTTGGCATGAAGTAAGCTTGTTTTTCATTGGTATAAAACACACAAACAATATCCAAATTCCTTTAAACTCGTGAGAAAATTTTATTGGATTGTCATCCAGAAAACTGTCAAATTTGGGTATATCCAAATTGACACTGAAATTTAATCTCTGTTTCTTTCTTTTCTCAGATCCACCCCACATCTCTATACTTTTTTTCTCTCACTAAACCCTTGTATCTCCCTCATGTGCATCTCTTTTAATCTCTATCTCGCGTGCATCTCCATTCCATATCTCATATATCATTTGTATTCTAAACCCAATAATTTATATCAAAAGTGGGGGTGGTTCTTCACTTGCATCAAGAGGGAAAAAAATGAAGGGGCAAAAACGACATATACCCCGCTCTAAAATTATAACCCCAAATACCCCCAGTTTTATAAAAAGGCCATGGAGCCCCCAAGTTAAACGATAAAGGACATTAACCTCCTCCTTAGATAAAGGACAATAACCTCTTCCTTACCTTTTTCATTGTCCAAATTATAAAATTTACCCTTCTCTTTTTTCTTAATTAATCAGTCTTCTGTTACTGTTACTCTCTGTTCCTCATCCATGTAACTCTTCCGTCCTTTCTCTCTCTAGCAGCCTTCCTTGAATGCTTATCTCTCTCTTTCTTTCTCTCTCTCTCTCTCTCTCTCTCTCTCTCTCTCTCTCTC